AATTGGTCTTCTCTAGATGAGTCCTTCGGATCTTGGGGAGATAGTTTGCCCTGCAACTCTAATTCTGAGGGGTCCAAGAAAGAATTGATCTTATTTTTCTTTTTTGATGCTGGAGATTAAACTCTTGCAGGGTCTTATACAGGTTAGACAACTGGCCTACCATTGAGCTACAAGCAACATGTTTATTCTCTGGCTATCATGAGTTTTGATTGGCAGTAACACAGGACTGACCACAAGGAAATGATTTCTCTTGCCTGTGCTTTGCACTTCTGCAGCATTTAGTGTTACTGGCAGGGTTAACTAGGCCACTGTGACTGAAAGACAGCACTAAATGACCTTTTGTGTGTTGGACATAATTTCCCTAGCCTTCAAATCAAGGTCATACTTTCTCTGTGAGTTCAGAATAGGAGAAACTTTACTGTAATCACTCACTATAAATCAAGATAAAAGTAATTTCCAAAGATCTGATAAGATTTTTCCTCAGCTTCCTGATTTTCTTTTTGTAAAGGCTGTTAGTCAACTGTGGGAGAGCCCAGGTCACTATGTGAAGTACCATTCCTGGACAGGTGGTCCTGTGTTATACAGAAAGCAGGCTGAACACAGGCCAGAGGAGCAGGTGAGGTTCCCCCATGGTCTCGGCTTCAGTTCCTGCCTCCAGGTTCCAGCTTGAACTCCTGCCCTGGCTTCCCTCTGTGATGGATTCTAAGATATAAAATGAAATAAATCCTTTTCTCCCTCATCTTTGTTTTGCTCAGTGTTTTTTTTTAATTAATATTTTATTATTTTTATTTTATGTGCATGAGTGTATTGCCTGCATGTATGTGAGCGGATTCATATTGTGCAATGCCGTGGAGGTCAGAAGAGGGCTTCTGATTCCTCTGGAACTGGAGTTAAGGACAGTTCGTAGCCACCATGTGGGTGATGGGACTTGAACCTGAGTCCTCTGCAAGAGCAGTCAGTGCTCTTAACCGCTGAGCGAACTCTCCAGCCCCTTGGTCAGTGTTTTGGTCACAATAGAAAGTAACTAGGATACCAACTAAGTTCAAATGACTGAAGTTTGAATCACAGGGCCTTCCCTAGCTCAGTCCCCAGCTCAGCTATTTCAGCATTAAGCATCCTGGGATGCTTAAAGAGGTCCTTGACTCAGTCTTACAGAGTAACTGTGTTATGTTTACTTAATTGAACCCCAACTTAAAAGCAAAATCAAGCCTGTCATGTACTTGTGTTTGGCCTTGACGCAAGTCATAGGAAATGTTCCTGGAAACCTGGTCTTTTACTCAGCCAACAATTGTGTGGAAAGTCACAGGCCCTATCCACACAAGTATGCCGTATGTGTGGCCTTTTGATATAGACATCTTCATAATGTGAATCCAGTTACTCCATCCTGCATAACCTTGAACCCAGTCCTCAAGTTTTTAGAGCCTGTCTTTTCATCTGCGAAGAAAAATACCATGTACATAGGGGAGTTCTGTTAGAGACCATAGAGGAAATCCTGGAGGTGATGTTCTCTATTCTCTTAAGACAATTTTAAACCCCTTTCCCAACCCAAACACCTGTGTTTAGTCCTAATCACCACTGGCATACACTACTGGGCATGTAATCTACAGGTCAGATAGGACACTAAGCTGTCCTTCCAACATATTTTATCTATACTGGCTCAGGGGTCAGAGGCCTCCTTTCATTGGGTGTGTTTGCAACTGCTCCTACAGAGGGAGTTTTCCTTCCGAGTAGCCCATAACAAAAAGGCCAAATTGAAAAGCAAAAAAATGTAAAGCGTCCCTCTCCTGTCTAGGTCACACTAGAAGGCTGACGGTCCCCTGGGCACCCAAGCAAGGAACCAAATATTAGCTAAACTTACTCTGGAACTTCTACGCAAATGGCTTCAGAGGTCACTTAATAGGACAGAACTCATGGCTTCCTGCATGCTAGGCGAGCACTCTACCAAAGTTAGGTAACTACTAGGAAGCTTTTACCTATCCAGAAGACGCTGTTGTATGGAATCTTACATTTAATCCTGTATTAGTTACTTTTTTGGGTCATGTTCTGATGACCAAAATAGGACAGAAACGACTTAAGGGAAGGAATTATTTTGACTCTTGGTCTCAGAGGCTCAGCTGGTTGTGGTGGTTTTTATGGAAGTGGAGGCACAGTGGTGGAGGTAACTATCCACAGGGAAGCAGTTGCTGGAACTTGGCAGCTGGGCTAAGAGTTTCCAAGGGCCAGCCCCTACTGGCTTCCTACCAGCCAGGCCCCACTTGTGTTCACAGTGTCTACCCTCCAAAAGAAATATCACCAACTGGGGAACAAGTACTCAAAACATGAGCCTGTGGGGGGCAATGGAAACTACAATTCTCAACATGCCGACAAATTATTAAAGCACCTACTAATGACCATTTGCAGTTGGCAGAAGAGGAGACAAATTGCTGAGTAGGCAGAGCTTTAAATTTCTTACTAGCCATCCAATGCTTTGTAAATCGGGTAAATTTTGTTCTTTTAGGAAGCCTGGGTTTTGGAACTCCGCCCTATGTGGTTAGAATGAACAGCACCTCCATTTTCACTTTTGAGTGTTTAAGGTATTTTACTCCAGACATATTTTACTCTGACATATCTAAGAGACAACACTGAATAGTACCACCCTGCAAAAAGACATATTACTTGGAACAAACAACTGTTACCTAGTTAAAAACCTTTGACTTTTCAAGAGCATTTCCTCAGGAGGAAATGGTGGTCGAGACTGGAAAGCAAGCAGGGTCTACAAACTGTCCTGTCACAGCAGTCCCTGCTTTCCAAAGACCAAAACCCTGAGAATTCCAGAGAGTAGAAACACCAGTGCTACTTTCTTGTTGGGGAGGATGTCCTGAGCATTCCAGGTTTAGCTGCAACTAAGGTGGTCTGACTCCATTAGCATTCCTCAGTTGTAAGGATCAAAAATATATAGACATTGCCTAGTGTCCTTGACTGGGACAAGAGTGGCAGCAAAAGTGTCCCTGGTTGAACCACTGCTTCAGGAGGACTACTCAGCAGAACCTATCTTGAACGTTAACATCTATTTTTGTCTGTGTATGTGCGCGCATGCCACAGTACACTTGTGGTCAGAGGACAACTTGTGGGAGTGGGTTCTCTCTACCATGTGAATCCTGGGGATTGAAATCAGGTCCTCAGACTCAGTGGCCTTTACTTACCCAGACATCATACCAGCCCCTTTATTTCATTTTGTATACCAGAAACCAAGAGCCTTGATTTTACTTCTTTAGCTCACTGAAATAAAATGTAGATGTTATTTTGTGTGTTTGATCACATAGGCAGGTGCACTGAACATATGTGTACATGAGGATGGAGGCCCAAGGTTGACATCAGATACCTTCCTTGGTTGCTTTCCACCTTCTATATTGAGGCAGGCTCTCTGAGCTCACCTTCTGTGAGCTAGGATTGCAGGCAGGCCACCATGCCCACCTGGCTTTCACATGGCTTCTGGGGATCTTAACTCCAGTCCTCATGCTTGGGTAATAAGTTTTACCCTGAACCATCTTCCCAGTTCTCTTGTTTACAAAAGACAGCTTTATTATTATTTTACTTATTTATTTTGGTCTTTTTGAGACAAGGTCTCCCTGTAGCCCCAGTTGGCCCGGAACTCACTCTATAGACCAGGCTGGCCTCAATCTTAGAGATGTGCCTGCTTCTGCCTACCAAGTGCTGGGATTAAAGGTATAAAAACGACAGTCTTTTGTTTTTAATCATGTGTCTGTGCTTTTGTGTAGGTGAGTGAAGGTGCACAGGGAGGCCAGATGTTGGATCCCCTGGAGCTGGAGTTACAGGCAGCTGTGAGCTGCCTGACGTAGGTCATGGGAACCAAACTCCAATCCTATGAAAGAGCAGTTCAAGTTCTTGACTGCTGAACCATCTCTCCAGCCCTTTATATATTCTTCCTTTCTCTTTTCTCTTCATCCCTCCCCTCCCCTCCCTTTCCCTCTTTCCTTCTGTTTTTGGAACAGGATTTTGCTATGCAGCCCAGGCTACCCTGAACTCATTGCAAACCCTCCTGCCCGTGTTTCTTGAATGCTGGGATTGCAAGTGTACACCACTGCTCTTGGCTGCTTTATAGCATCTTGTACTGTTAAAGTCCCCGGTTTCATGGAATTGGTTACATATTGTGTGAGCAACAAAAGGCCTTTTACTGCAGCTGCAACTTCATCTCATTGTAGTCTGCTTGGTGAACATGCTGTTTGGCTGAGATCAAAGGTTATTTCCTCTCAAATATACTCCCTGGAATTTGAGTGTGCTGGCACATGCCTATGATTCCAGCATTGGGAGGCTGAGTCAGGATGACCATGAGTTTGAGGCCAGTCTGGGCTACTGACTTGTCTCGAGAGGAGATGCTCTGGGGTTAGAGGACTACCTCTCCTCTTCTTGGGATCCAACACTAGATCACAGTGGTCCCCAAACCATCTGGTGTGCAGATTCAAACTACAAACTACATTCTGGTTGCAAAAGCCGAGCCAAATACACAGCAAGAAGCTCTACAGTTTTCTGGTCTTGTTTTTGTAAGTCAGATTGCAAGGCTTTGTTCTTCTCCCCTAAAAAGAATTGAGTGTGCAACTAGCACAAGCCTAATTACAGAGAGTATGCACCTGCTGACTTCTTATACCCTTGCTAAGCTTAAACAAGTTGTTCAGATGGACTAGGAAAAAAATGCTGAGAAACAGGAGGCATGATACTGACTTATTTTAAAAGGTCTTTTAGAGAATGACTTGAGATTCTAAAGTAGTTCTCAAACACAGAGTTCTTTATAACAAGGCAGTAAGCCTTAAGGAATGCTTCTCAGAGCATCACTTCGTTGTTGTTTAAAAGAAAACACCCCATTCAAAAGGCATATTGGATATCACCACTATTTGAGGAATGGAGTTACAGGAGTGAGAAGTATATAATTAGTAAATAATCCCTCTCAATAATGGAGTTAAGTAGTAAAGCCACAGGGAGAAAGAAAGGCTCTGGAGGCAATAGTCAGTGCATATCAGGAATGCATTTTAATTTTTATTTGAAAACAACTTAACTTTTTAGACAAATGATTTTAGTATATAAATTTGATTTTGTTTTTATATAGAATATAAAGATTTCCCTCATTAATCTCTTATGTGAAGGGGATTACAGGCCAGAAGGAAGACACATTCTGCACACAAAAGTATACCTTGTATGTGTGGCACTGGGAAAGAAGGGTGAAGTGGTCCTGCATGTAACTTAGGATCAAGTGGTGACATTACACAATACAGGAAGAAGAGAAATATTCTAGTTCATCAGATTCAAGAAGCAAATGTGACACAAAAACTGCAAAAAAAGATCAAGTCAGCAACTTTAGTTAGGATACTGCAGGTTCTATGGGATGGCTTGTGAGACTATAGTGTGCACACGGAGACAACAGGAAGAGCTATTCATAGAGAAAGGCTGCAATGAGGGACACAGTAAGGGACTTCTCACTAAAGCAAATTAACTTCTTGTCAACTGCCAACACAAAACAGAAGGAAAATGAGTGTTAGTATACTGGGAGCATATTCCAGTTTCTGTGCAGCATGCTAAGTTAGTTACAACTTCTTCACTGGTGCGTGTGAATCATTAATGGTCACATTTCTGCCTCTTCTTGCCAAATTCAGGCATGTCTTATTTTAGATGGAGTATAGCTTTTATCTATTATTTCATCCTGCAAAAACATGTGAAGACAACGTTCATTCTGTGCCAGAGGATGACCAGCGACCCTGGGAATAAAAAATACAGATTTAGTCCAGTATTTTATAAAGGTGGTAGAGGCAGGGATCAAGACACACATATTTTAAGGTTAGGAAGCAGGAACAATTTATTAATCTTAAGTATTATTCTGGGTTACCTGTAAAGCCACACTATCATTTGGTTCACAAAGTGATTTAAAAACATTTTAAGGCCAGTAAGAGGGCTTAGCAGGTAAAGGTGCTTGCTGCCAAGCCTGATGACCTGAGTTCAATCCTGAGGATCCACATGGTAGAAGGAGAAAACTGACTCCTACAAGTTGTCCTCTGACCTTCACACATGAACTGTGGTTCATATACACACACATGTACAAATGTAAAAGTAATAATAACAAATATTTAAAATAAACTTTGCAGTATTTCTGGCTTGTGTATCCAATTAGTTTCTTAATTGGTTGGTATATTCCTAAGAAACTTAAATTTGAATATTGTAAGTGAAATAGTTCACGTATTATAAGAATCTGGCTTTTAAAAAAATTTTATTTACTATTTTTATTTTATGTGTATGAGTGTACTGCCTGCATGTATGTGGGTGCACCCATGTCATGCTATGGCGTGGAGGTCAGAAGAGAGCTTCGGATTCCCCTGGAACTGGAGTTAAGGACAGTTTGTAGCCACCATGTGGGTGCTGGGAATCGAACCCGGGTCCTCTACAAGAGCAGTCAGTGCTCTCAACCGCTGAGCCATCTCTCCAGCTCCAAGAATCTGTTTTAAAGAATAGGATCCAAGTCAGGCATGGTTATTTATCCCAGCACTTGGGAGGATGATTGAAGAGGCTCTGAGTTTGAGGCCAGCTTGGGCTAATGTAAGACCCTGTCACAAAACACAAATATACACACTAAGGAGCGAACAGTAATGTTTAACTAAGAGTTCTGTTTCTTCCCCTTTTTCTTTTCCCCCTTCCCTCTCTCCCTAACTCAAACTTTTCCACTGCAATTGAACTAAGCAACTGGACTTTTATTTCAGAACTAGTTTAGCTTTGCCTTCTCCTAAAAGACAGTATGTTCATAAAAAGACAACTGTAGCCAGGCATGGTGGGGCACACCTATAATCTCAATACTTTGTTCAGAGTTCAAGGCTAGCTTGTTCAACATAGCAAGTTCCAGGACAGCTACGGCTACATAGTAAGATCTTATCTCATTAAAAATAAAATAAAATGTAGAAGGGGCAGAAAGAAGAAGCATAGATGGAGGATGACCACAAGGAAAAGTTTTCCAGACAGCTGGTCAGTTACTCATAAGAATTCATAGTAGCCAGGTATGGTGATGCACTTGGGAGGCAGAGGCTGGTGGATCTCTGTGAGTTCAAGGTCAGCCTCGTCGTCTACATAGTGGGTTCCAGACCAGCTGGGGCTACAGGGAGACCCTGTCTCAAAAAGACCAAAAAAAAAAAATATATATATATATATCACAGTAGTGGTGATAGCATGCACAAATCCCATGAAAGCGCAAGCCAGACAAAAATCACAGAATGGATGTGAAACAGTGTAAGAAACCCCAACCCCATCTGAGGAAGCACTGGCCACTGGAAGGGGGAGAGTCAGGTTAAGGGTGAGACTCTTGGTAGGTTAACTAGGATCCAATGGATGGACCCACACCAAAGGGCGTTGAGGTCACAAGTATATATAATAAAGTATATGAAATTGGGGGGGCAGTAGGGGAATGTAGATGGGGAGGGGATCTAAATGCATTCAAAATATAGTGTATGAAATTCACAAAATTTCAACAAAAATTCAATCATAAAAATTATTTAAAGACAATCCTGTTCTTATACTTTTTTCAAAAGAAACCATTTCACTATAAAAAAACTTAAGTGTACATTTTTACATAAAGCATGCTGATATCTCCATCTGCAATCAAACAAAATAATCATAAATGTATATTGTATCTTTTTGTTCATGGGAGAACATACCTTAAATCAGAATCATAAGTAAAACTGTATTTTCTGAATGATGCAATTTTAAATGTAATTTGCACAAATTAGCCAAGAACAACAAATATAAAATTTAGGCTAACACAGCTCCTCACTTTAATGGTCCAAAGAAAAGGCAATATCAATCTGACATTTAAATCACTAGTAGTCACCTAATATCCTTAAGCATTGCTCCCTCTCACTCTGAAGAAGAAAGTACTTACTTGTTTATAAACTGTTCCAGTCCTTGCTTCCTTTCCTCAATAAAATTGTCATCGAATATTCCATCATCTCCTCTAAAAGGAAGCTGCCGCAAAAATGCTTTCCCAGGGAGTGGGGGAACTACAACCTAAAACAACCATGAAGGAACAAAGTTAATGATTATGACGGCTGGGTTATAAATATTTATAAAGCAGGCTGGGGAGATGGCTCTATAGGTAAAGTGGGCAAGCATCAAGCCTTAGTTCTATCCTTAGGACCCACTCACATGGTGGAAAGACAATTCCTGAAAGCTGTTCTCTGAGCTTCACACATGTGCTGTGGCACACATGGGCCCTCATATGTATGAGTATGCATCCATGTACACACACAAAGTAAAAGAAAATTTATAAAGCACAACATGGAGACAAAGGAAACCTCACTGGGAGAGCCATCTCACTCTCAAACTAGTTTAAACATATAAGAACAGAAAAGAAACACAGTGAGCGCTGAGACTTAGTGGCAGTGTGCTTGCCTAGCATGAGGGAGGCCCATACAAAACAACAAGCAACAAAACCATGGCAAAAATTCAGTGTTCTGGAGGCAAGATAACCACAGGCCCAAAGCTCCTCAGAGGTGGCACCCAGAGCTTATTTTCTTAGAACATTTTTTTAAGCTTTTAATAGTTTATTATTTTTATGTGTATGGGTGTATTGCCTGCATGTATGTAAATGCACCCGTGCACTGGTGTCATGTAATGCCTGTGGAGGTCAGAAGAGGGCATTAAATCCCCTGGAACTGGAGTTACATGGCTGTTAGCTGCCATGTGGGTGCTGGGAACTGAACCTGGGTCCTCTGCAAGAGCAGTCAGTGCTCTTAACCATCGAGCCATCTCTCCAGTCCCCAATAACTCATTCCTTTTCATTGCTGGGCTATATTATATTGTTTACATGTACCACCAGTCAAGTTGAGTGTGGCTTTTGGGGTCAGAGGTCCTTGTGAGTCTGAGGTCTTAGGGATAGTGAGTACCAGGCCAGCCTGAGCTATTAAGCATGTTTCCCAAACTCCTCCCTGCCACATACAAAAAAGATATAGCCACAGTTTATCCTCTTATTCACTGATGGACATTTGAGTGTTTCCCATGTGAGGCTATGACAGGGGAACAAGGTCAAGCTGTTTATTCCTTTTCTTTTGTTTGCTTTTTGCTTTTCACCAGTAACACAGGCACAACTTTCAGTGAGAGGTGAGAGAGTTTTTGTTTGTTTTGTTTTGTTTGGTCTTTTTGAGACAGGGTCTCCCTGTAGCCACAGATGGCCTAAAACAAACTAGGTAGACCAGGCTGACCTTGAACTCACAGAGATCCACCTGCTCTGCCTCCCAAGTGCTGGGATTAAAAGCATGCGTCACCATGCCCAGCTGTTTTTTATTTTTTTAGTCAAGGGCTCCTGTAGCCCAGGCTGGGATGTGGCTCAGTAGTAGAATGCTTGCTTCACAGGCATGAGGCTCTGATTCCATCTCTAACACTGCTGGGGTGGAGGTGAGCTGCTGTGAACACGTGTGCATAGCTTTATGAGTTTTATTTTTATTTTTTAAAGATTTATTTATTTATTTTTTTAATTGTGTGTGTGTGGAGGGGGGTATATACACATGAGTGCAGGTGCCCTTAGGGGCTGGAGGCATCAGATCCCCCTGGAGTTGGAGTTATAGGTGGCTGTAAGCCACTCAACATGCATGCTTAGAACCAAATTCAGGCCTTCAAAGAGCAGTACTCTCTTAACCACTGAGCCATCTCTTCAGGCCTGCATGACAAGTTTTTATCTGAATATGATCTGTGTAACTATCAGTCAGATGAAGAGATGAGACATTTCCAGAACCCCAGAAAGTTCTCTCATGCCAGGCTGTACTGATTCAAAGATAACCACTATTTTGTTTGTTTTTGTTTTTTGAGACAGAATCTCATTACAAATCCCTGGCTGTCTTGGGATTCACTATGTAGGCCAGGCTGGCCTTGAACTCACCAATATTCACCTGCCTCTGCCGCCCCAGTGCTGGAACAAAAGGTGTGCCCAGCCTGATAACCACAAATTTGACTTTTACAATAAACAAAATCATTTGGTCTAGAAGTTCATATATATGAAATCAAACAACAAAACTGTTCCAGTCCTTGCTTCCTTTCCTCAATAAAATTGTCATCGAATATTCCATCATCTCCTCTAAAAGGAAGCTGCCGCAAAAATGCTTTCCCAGGGAGTGGGGGAACTACAACCTAAAACAACCATGAAGGAACAAAGTTAATGATTATGACGGCTGGGTTATAAATATTTATAAAGCAGGCTGGGGAGATGGCTCTATAGGTAAAGTGGGCAAGCATCAAGCCTTAGTTCTATCCTTAGGACCCACTCACATGGTGGAAAGACAATTCCTGAAAGCTGTTCTCTGAGCTTCACACATGTGCTGTGGCACACATGGGCCCTCATATGTATGAGTATGCATCCATATACACATACAAAGTAAAAGAAAATTTATAAAGCACAACATGGAGACAAAGGAAACCTCACTGGGAGAGCCATCTCACTCTCAAACTAGTTTAAACATATAAGAACAGAAAAGAAACACAGTGAGCGCTGAGACTTAGTGGCAGTGTGCTTGCCTAGCATGAGGGAGGCCCATACAAAACAACAAGCAACAAAACCATGGCAAAAATTCAGTGTTCTGGAGGCAAGATAACCACAGGCCCAAAGCTCCTCAGAGGTGGCACCCAGAGCTTATTTTCTTAGAACATTTTTTTAAGCTTTTAATAGTTTATTATTTTTATGTGTATGGGTGTATTGCCTGCATGTTTTTAAGTGCACCCATGTTGTGCAATGCACGAGGTCAGAAGAGGGCATAAGATCCCCTAGAACTGGAGTTAAGACAGTTGTTAGCTGCCGTGCAGGACGAGGTCAGAAGAGAGCATAAGATCCCCTAGAACTGGAGTTAAGACAGTTGTTAGCTGCCGTGCAGGTACTGGGAACTGAACCTCTCCAAGAGCAACCACTGAGCCAACTCTCCAGTCCATTTAGAGCACTTTTATTGGCCTTATCAAAGCATTGGGGATACAAAGGCAACATTCACCAATTCAATACCAAATCAAAGGCTAACAAGCCACTTCAGGCATTTCTGATGCTATCTGGAATAGACAACGCTTTTCTGCAATGGAAACTGCAGAGACCAAAGTCAAATCCCAACTAAAGAAATAAAATGTTGTGTTCTTTCTGCAGCATGGTTTGTAAGAATTCCGTGGTATCTTCAACCTCTTCCCTCTGCATGTTTCCTATTCCAAAGACATGTCATTTCTTCTTTTCCATTTACCAGAATATTCCAGTCTTTCCCCATTAATGTCTAAACCTAGTTCCAAACTTGTGCGGAACTCCCACTCTGGGGGTTTTCTAAAGCTCAAATATTTGTTTCAATTAGATAGCACCTAACCATACAATTCACAAATTAGTTTAATTTGTCTAGTCTAGGGTTTTTACAACCACGGCACTTTTTTTTTTTTTTAAACAATGCTAGAGATTAAACTCAGTGACTGGAGCTTGCTAGGTAAGCATTCTACCACCAAGCAACACTCTCAGGTCTCTTCTCTGTACCTGGAGAGAGGCTTTCTTGCATACTATGGTTTGGCAGTGTCCTTGGCCTCTATCCAATATACACCAACTGTACTCCCACTTGAGACAATAAAAAGTATTTCCAGACATAGTTAGATATTTCCTAGGGGACGAAAACCATCCCTGGGAGAGAACTACCAATCTCTTCTATGGATGTCTTCAAATCATAGACCCTGCTTTAGGCTAAAAGCTCAAATATGGGGTTGGAGAGATGGAGGAGTGGTTAAGAGCACTGGTTGCAGAGATCTGGGCTCAGTTCCACATGGCAGCTAACAACTGTCTGTTAACTCCAGCCTCAGGGCATTTCATGACACAAGTACATGGGCAATACATTCATACACATAAAGTAATAATTAAAAAAGTTCAAATGTCTTAAATGACTAACTAGATCCTTACGTTACACAACAGAAAATATAAACGATACATATTTTTTTCCTTTTTGCCAGTGATACAAATTGTATGCATTCTACAACAGTTAAAATTATTTTGTATCCAGGCACAATGGCACACAAATGTAACCCTAGGACTTGGGAAGTAGAAGCAAAAGGATCAGGAATTCTAGACAGCCTTGGCTGCATAGGGAGTTCAAGGTTAGCCTGGGCTACATGAGGGCTCGTCTTTTAAAAAAATATTTATTTTTTATTTTATGTGTGTGTGTGTTCTGCTTGTATGTATGTAAGAGCACCCATGCCATGCAATGCTCCTGGAGGTCAGAAGGCGGCGTTGGATCCCCTGGAACTGGAGTTATAGATGGATAGTAGCCACCATGTGGGAACCAAAACCGGGTCTTCTGCTCTGCAAGATCACTCAGTGCTCATCTCTCCAGCCCAAGTCTGTCTTAAAACAAAACACGGGCTGGAGAGATAGTTCAGCTGTTAAAGAATATGTACTGTTCTTCCAGAGGACTCAAGTTTGATTGCTAACACCCACATCAAGCAGCT